ATTTACCAACCATGGTTTGGCAATCATTCTGCACCATAAACACAGTCCTCTTCTTTTTAAACAAAACTAGGGGGAGTGATTGTTGCGGTGTGTTGCAATGTCCTGTTTTAAACTTCCGGGTCCCTTCCCAGGTGTGCCTATGCCTTCTGCCTTCCCCCTCGCCCCTTGCTGAGTGTGCCCTGTCAGTCAGGCTAACATACCAGCAAGGCATCGAGTGGTTGGTCCCTCAGGCCTGGGGGACATTGGATAGGTGTCCCTAGTCCCTTGAGACCCTGCCCCTTTCACCTGGTTGGTAGCTCACCTGTCCCCTCCCCTTCCCCTGTCCCGGAGCTTAAAAGGTTAATGAGACCATGCGGCCTCGATTCTGTTGGAGGAGTTGCCCCGCTTCAGACCTCTGTAACCATGGAATAAACATCTGGATATAACCCTCCAGCAGAATCCTCTCCTTCTTCTCTTCACCATCGCCAGAAGCTCTTTCTCCTGAGGTAAACGAGTTCCTGACAAGCCTGGGCACCAGTGCCCTGCTGCAATAGCCGCCTTTGGCTCAGCAGCGAGGGTCACACTGACCCAGGCACAATCAAACTTGTTATATTGGGATTCATATTCCAATATGTGATGAGTGTGTTTTTTGTGTTTTTTAAGCCTTGTTTGAATGTGGTGGAGGTAAAAGCAAACACTGAATTTAAAAGAATTTTTTACAGGTATACCTTTAACAAACTTCTTATGTTTAAGTGTATTTAAGTATAAAAATGCTGCAGCAAACATGTGAAGAAAGTTGTTTTAGTTTAGTATTTTATATTCAGGCCTGTAAGTAAGTTATAGTAAATGCTATATTCTATTTTTATAGTAAGTTTTATTTGTTACTAAGTAGTTTAAGTTAAATTGTGTATTAAGTGCCATTAAATGTTAGATACTGTTGAGGTTAAGTTTTGTTAAGTTTTCTGTTAAGATTAAATTATATTAGGTTTAAGTTAAGTTAGATTCTGTTAAGTTTGAATTATATTGGGTTTAAGTTGCATAAAATTTAAAGTCAGTTAAGTTCTATTAAGGTTAAGTTCTGTTAAATTTAAATACTTTAAGTTTAAGTGTTTTAGGTGCTATTAAGTTTAAGTAATGTTAGATAGATTTATGCTTTTACGATAGGCGTTTATTTTATGACTTGTGTGTAGAGTGTTGTTGTGAATATCAGAGAAAACTTAGTTAAAAAAGACAATCAGAATTTGCTGTTTAAAAATAGAAAGCAAACTTTTTTTAGCTTATTTTTATGAATTATATTAGCACACCTGAGTTTTGGTTGAGCTTTGTAGCGCATGGAATTCTTTTTTGTATTTGTTGTATAGCATGTCTTGTAATTAGTGATAGCTTTTTAGTTTGTTTCTCTAGCTTAGGTCCCTTGTAAGAGAAAAGCCTTATTAGCTGAAAATACTGTTTAGTTATTAGAATTGTTTATTCTTGTGTTGCAAAGAGTGTGACACTTAGCCCATAGAACCTTTTCTTAAAAAATAAAAACAGGGGAGATGTTGGGAATTTAGCTGCTAGAAAATGGAAAAGTACAAAACCATGGCTAATTCCAAGTCCTGCACCTGCACAGGTAGCAGTGACCTTGGGCCTAGCTGTGGTATAATAACAAACAGTGAAAGAGACATGAGAAAAGAGAGATGTGATACCTAAGAAATGAGGATGAGTTAATGCTATAGTTTAACCAATAGATTGCTTAGTTTACAGAATATTCATAAGCTTATTACTCGCTGTATAAGTGTCTGATGCTCTTTTGAATAAACGGAATTTGCTTATCACTCATATTGACTGTCTGAGTCTCCCCTCACCAACAAATGGCTCGTCCCCGACAAAGGCCCACATATTTTCTCGGTAACACTGGGGAACTGGGGACTTTCAATTCTGGACAGTCATTCTTCCAATGTCCCCATTTTTTACAATAAACAAACTGATCTTTCTCTGCAGAGGATGTTTTCTTGGATGACTTTTCCTGGGTTCCCTTCTTACTAGGTTGGGATTTAACTCTTTCAGTTGGGCCCCTGTCTCAAAATACCTTCCAGGCCACCTGTACCAATTTATCTATGTCTCAAACTCCCTTGTATCTTTTGCAGCTTTCTTCTTATATCATTTGTAGCTTGAGCCGAAAATAAGAGAACTAGACGTGCTTTGCCATCAGCTGATTCAGGATCTACATCTGCATATTTGATGGCAGTTTCTTAGACTGTTTAAAAAATCAGTGGGTGATTCATCATAATTTTGACTTACTTTTTAAGTCTTTGACCAATTTATCGCTTTAGGGACACCATGTTTTAACCCATATACCATAAGACTTTGATATTGTATTAACTTTGCCATATGTGCTGGTATTTTGATCCCTACCTGGATTTTCTAGGGGAAATATCTGTGTAATGGTGCCTTGAAGCAACCCATTTGCTATGCTAGCCTCTGCTGATGTAATTGTTTCATTGACCATTTGTCTCTCAGTGGGATCAAGTAATGCGTCTGAGTTCATAGAGTTCAAATCAGCCCAGTCAGGGTTTTGAGTTAATTTCCCTTTCTACTAATTTTGCCACCTCAATCTGAATTCTCTTTATATTTCTTCACAGTAGTTTTCCACTACTCCAACTCAGTAAGGGAGTATGGAACCTTTACACACATTGGCCCCTGGTTGCCAACTGCCTGCCGCAATGGGGCTTGCAAAACCAGTTCTTTACCTTTTTTTTGACCTAGTACATTTTGCTATGGGGGTGTGGTATGGCCTGTTTATCTATCTTTCCCCTCCTTTGCTCGCTCGGGGCAGCAGTAATCTCATTCTTCTCCTCCTCCTCAGAGTTACTTGAGCAAGAGCTGTCTGACTCTGTTGACTCTGCTGGAGTAGTACATCTGCTTCGACCAATTCCAGTTCTAGACAGCACTAAGCATGACTTACACCGTGGTGGAAGCCAGGCTGTGTGCCTGCTCACTTTGAAGATGCCATCTCCAGAGGCGGCTCCACAGTGTTCGGGGTTGCTGCGGAAACTCATGGACCCGTGAGCAGAAGAAGCACCAGATCCCCACGGGCGGGCCCCTCTCGGCAGAAGGCTCTGCCCCCCGAACCCGCCCCCCAGGACAAGTGGGGATGGGAGGGGGGCTCAGCTGCAGCGGACGGCCATGGCTGCAGCAACGGCTGCCGGAGCCCTCCCCGCTGCTCCTTCACTGCCCGGGAGCAGCCGGGGCATGCTCCCCCCATCCTGCCCCCAACATGCTCGGACAGTGGGGCCACCGCTGGGGGTGGCACCAGTGAAAAATGCATGTATTTTATGCTTGGCTTTCTGCAAATATTAAAATTAATATTATATGTGTTGTGTTAGAAAGTAATGCTGTATTAATTCTCTTAAATACTGTGTTAAATATAGTTTTAGGTTACAAAAAATGTTAAAATACAAACTATGCTATGTAGGATACTTTTTTTAAAGAAGGGAGTCGCAGCGAGATAGCAGCCACAGGACACCTAAATCTTTCACAGAAAAGGAATCTACTGCCCTCTTATCAGAAGAAATTAACTTCTTCCTGCCTCGAAGGCACTGTTAGGATTAGAAGGAAGAAGTTGACAATGACCAGACAGAATCCTGTGTTTGAACAGAATTTATGCATCATGTATGAAGTGTATGAATATGCAACAGGCTATTGCTTTTAAGGGTTAATCCTCTGTTAATCTGTGTCCTTTTTCGGGCTCGTGCTGCCCAGAAAAAGGTACCCGGATGTCCATAACTCTTTGTATTTATTGTCTTATATTGTCCTAATTCAAGTTATCCAAATTATTATTACTCTAATTGTATTACTATTTTTTATAACCATTTTATTACTATTAAACTTTTAAAATTTTAAAAACAAGTGATTGGAATTTTTCACAGCACCGACAGCACCGGCAGCACAGGCGGGAGTGGAGGGACTCCGGGCCCCACCCTCAGATCAGGGGTGATGAGGTCTAACTCCACCTTCTCCTTATTTTTACATCCACTGCTCAATACCAACTGCTCCTTTTTACTTTTCCCGTCTTTTTTATTTATATATGCCAATATATGCTGTTCCTTTTTGTTTGCTGATGGGCTTTGCTGACATGCTAATACCATAAAAAGCCTAGCATATTCTAACTTGTCAAAATATTTGTCCTCCCATATGTGGGATATTAAACTTGATATTAATTTCTTACCGGAACTACCAAATTTAGGCCATGTCTCGTTGTCTAGTTCATATGTTGGACACATCTTTTCTGAGAGCCTGATAAGTCTGGGTTTAAAAAGCAATGATCTGTTAGTTCATGCCAGTTTTTCAATATTAACCCCAGAGGACTGCTTCTCGATATATTACTATTACAATCACAGGAGAATACAAACCCCATCTTAACATCAGTGAGTAGGAAAGTCTGCAGAGATCAAAAGAACCAGCAAGAGGTAGAGAGAAAGAACAAGCAAGAAGCAGGATTAGAACTCACAACCTTGGGAACCATAGTGCAGGCACTAACCTATGGCACCAGCCCAGGCCTCAGGCTGATACTTTCCACCGTAGTGCTAAAGGCTCACTTTTTCAGAGAGTCTCCTCTCTCACCCCAGTGGGTGAGACAGAGTGAACGTAAAGCAATTCCACCTGGACCCCCTAGGGTCCTTCCACACTAAACAAAACTACAAGAGATCTCCTAACAGCTAACACAGGTGCTAAAACAGAATACCTCCTTTATTGAGTTACTCACATGCCTCCATGCCGGGCCCAAGGATTCTCAGGCTCTGATACCTTCACTACTGCAGCTGGGGCACCCTGGGAGTGCTGGCAAGAGTGGGGGGGAGCAGCTAGGTCTTCCTCTGGTCCAGGGGGTTTTCCTGATGCCTTCTGTCCCTTCATGAGGTGCCAGAACTGATGCCTATGAGAGGCTGCCCTGGAACAGAGGCTAGACAGAGTTAAAGGAGTAAAGCAGGTGTTTATTAAAAGGCCTATAAAGGATATGCCTTGGGCAGTACAAGAGCCTGGCCGGGGCTCTGCCCAAGATGGACACAACATGGACCACCAGTCACAAGTTTTCACACTTTTATAAGTTTTTCACACTTTCATAAATAATGGTTTGGTAAATAACTATTTACATACTGGGGTTAGTTGTCCAATTATAACTTCAGGTTATGAAGCCCCATCCTCCTTGTCTTCTCCCTTCAACTCACTGTTTATGCTTTTTGGGTCTAAGGCCGTAACAGATGTCCTTGGATTCTCAAGCTGGAAAAAGATGGTTTTGTCTCACTACCCCGTGAAGAGAACTTACTAACAATTCATACACAGTTCAGAGTTACACACAAGGCAGTATAGAATCCAAAAAATATGAAAGCTAAAACTTAGGGCATCACCCACATGTCTGTGTCCTCTCATGTCCCCACCTATGTCTGGGTCACCCATGTCCCCACCTATTTCCATGTCCCCCCTTGTCCCCACCCATGTCATTGTCATCCCATGCCCCCATCCATGTTTAGTTCAATGTCTTTATTTTTACCCCAGTTTCAAGAGTTTCAAAGGGATGAACAGAAAAGAAAAGAAAATCAAGGCCAAAACAAAATTATTTACATGTCCCTGCCAGCAGAGCATCCATGTGCTTGGGTGGGTGGAAAGAACCTTTTTTGGAGGGGTTTCCATCCCACTGTCTCCAAAATCAGGGGTTTTGCCCCAGTCTGTCTTCATTTGGCTGTGAAAGACAGCCGTGGGCCATGGAGAACTAAAAGACTGGATTTATGTAGGAGAAGACCTGCAAGGCTATCCAGTATTGCTCAACGCCACTAGATGATGAAAAAGTGAGATTTTTCTGCAGTCAGAAGTTGACCAATCCACTCTCCACAATGGATTTCTGTGTTGGGCTGTGAATGTGTGCAGGTGCCCACAGGGAGGCAGGAGGATGTGGAGCCCTCCAGCCAGGTGTCTTCCCAACACTGATCACCGGCGCCATGGGTCACCAGGGCTCTGCCCATCATGGCTCACTGCGGATCATCCAGCAAGGATCCTCTAGTGAGGGATGGAGCTGGAGCAGCACAGGAAGCTCTTCCTGCCCTCAGGGCACTTGCAGGGCTGCCCTTAGTGCTGGCTCTGTTGGTGTCTGGTCAACTGAGTGCTGTGGGAGAAGCTCTCCCCACACTCAGGACACTTGTAGGGCCTCTCCCTGGTGTGGATGCGCCGGTGCCTGATGAGGGTGCAATTACGGTTAAATCCTTTCCCGCAGTCGGGGCAGAGAAAGGGCCTCTCATCTGTGTGAATCCGCTGATGCCTGACGAGAGTGGAGCTGATCTGAAATCTCTTCCTGCATTTATCACATTTGTAGGGCTTCTCCCCGGTGTGGCTCCTCTGGTGGACAATCAGCAGGCTGTGTTCGAAGAAGCTCTTTCCACACTCCCCACACTCGTAGGGCCGTTCCCCAGTGTGGATTCTCCAATGGCGGATCAGGGAGGATCTCTTGCTGAAGTTCTTCCCACATTCTGAGCACTTGTGGGGCTTCTCCCCATCCTGAACCTGCTCATGGACCCCCAGCTCTGAGCTCCGGCCGCCTTCCTGGCCCTGGGTGGGTCTTTCCTCCTCAGATCCCCGTGATCTGCGTTTGCAGCCCCTCCTCGTACGGGTTCCCCAGGACGTTTCCTCCCCGTTGGATTCCTGTGCTGTGGAGCTGCTCAAAATGGCCTCATCCACAAGGTTCTGCTGTGGGGATTTGTCCTCCCTGGTCTCTGCCCTCAGCTCCTGGTCTGGGGGAGGAAGGACAAGGAGAGGATGGGATTTGCCTCCGTGCCACAGGGAAGGACAAGGAGATCCCCCCAGTGCGTCCCCAGCAGGACAGCTTTGGCAGCAGGGTTGTCCTGCAGCGGGGGGCCGTGCTGGGCTGGGAGATGGAGCAGGAGAGAGGGGGAAAGGGGCACTGACTTCCTCCTCACCTGCCTGGGGCTCCCGGGCCATCTTCCTCTTCCTCGCAGCCTCCTCCTCCTGCATTGGACCCAGGCTTGGGAATGGGAAATGCTGGTTTGGGGGAAAACAAGGCTTACTGAATTTGCTTTGATGCTCCCGCTGCCCAAGTGCAGCTGGAGAAGTCAGCGCCCCTTTCAGCCTCGGGGCGCCCGGAGCCCGCTTATCCCCAGCCTCCCGCACCCCTCCAGGCAGCCGGTTTGTCCCCCGGCTCCGGGATCTCCCCTTTGTGCTCTCCCCGCTCCGGGGCTCCCGCGTTCCACCCTGGCTCTCCTGGGCATACCCAAACCCGAGATCGCCCCTGTGCCCGCGGGTACCGGGCGATCGCCAAGCGGGACTCCCAAGATCCCTCCAGAGGCATTTGTGGCTCTGCTTTGGCGTCCAGCAAGACCCAAACATCCCCTGCCTCGCAAAAAAACCTCCCAGAGACCTCCCCCGATGGATTTGGGGCGAACTCCCCCAGCCCGCTCACCTGCGGGTTCTGGCGGAGGGGGCGATGCTGGCGTGACAGGGGGAGCAGAGGCCTGAACGGGCGGGCAGGGGAACCGCTTGGTTCTGCTGCTGCTGCTCGTATTCCTCCTGTTCCTGCTCTTCCTCCTCTTCGTCTGTCCCTCCTCTTCCTCCCGCTCCTCCTCCGCTCCCAGCCCGGCCCGGGTAGGGGCTGACATCCAAATGGAGCCGCGCTCTGCCCTAGGGGGGTTCCCAAAGAGGCCCCGGCCCGCGCGGCAGTGGGAGCGATCCTGGGAACACTGGGTGGAATCCTGAGATCAGCGGGAAGG